TCTTACTATTTCTGACTAGTCCGGACTCGTACGGGATCGCAACTATTATATCGCTCGCGATCTCGACGGTGCACGTTGCATCCGGCACAATTCAACAATGTTGAATTGCTGTGCAACTTCTTCACTTGGACCGCAGATATCAATATACCATGCCTTCCCATGAAGACGGCTATCTCCTCGATCTTGCTCTGAAGTCTGAAGTGAAGTGAATTTGGTTCGGGACACGTGTTGTTATGCGGGGTGTGAGGGATGTGTGTGGCCTTGCCACCATTGGCTGTGTGCGCTGCTTTGGAGGTTGCCGCCCTGTGGTGGTAGTGGGTGGCGTCGCAATTGGGGTTTGCGTCCGAGCGGCGCACTTGACTGATGTCACGTTACAGAATAGGAGTTGTTGGCGGCGGCGTGTGGGTGGTGGTGCGGTTGTGTAGTCTGTTGTGGTTGTGGCGGGGTCTATTGTGTTGTTATGTTGCGGTGCTGTGGTGTTAGTGTTGAGCTGCTCAGGTGGACTGGGGTTAGCCGTGAAGGCTGCTCTGTTTGAGCAACAAGGGGCCACAAATGATGTGGTCACTGCCGATGGGTCCATAGTCCTGAGCAAACTTTGAGGTGACTCCACCCGTCGCAAGCATTGCGCTTGACTGAGGCGGAGTTGTGGTGTAGTCGTCTCTGGCATACATAGCAGGTGTAGGTTTCTGGCCCTGGGTTTGACTCGATGCCAGCCCTGAGCAGAAGAATGCGTAGCAAATGTAGCCCTATGGACGAACAACTTCTGAGATACTTCGCCGACCTAAACGGGGTTAAATCGCCGAAACAACAGGGGTAAAACCCGAGTTATTCCGGTACGTAGAACCAGCTGTCGTGTTAATGCGTAGACTCTTGTCTAGAAGTTGTGTAGAAATGTTTTGATTCGGGTCACGCGTTTGGGCACAGCAAACCAAAATCGTTGTACAAATAACTAAACCGTTCCCGAAATACAATTTTTCAACTACAGCCATTACCCCTAACCGCTAATGTGACGCAGTGTTAAATAGCCCCCGCACACCGCAGAGTTAACGGCCGCCGATTTAGTTGGGCTTCCTTGTCTTTCCATTGCATTTTCGGGCGCGATTAAGTTTGGTGTAGTGTGCGCACCTCCATACATCTTTATGTATTTCAAGCGGGCCCCAACTGAATCGGCGGCCCATAAAGTCTGCAGTGTGCAAGGGCTGTATATGTACTTTGATACTTAGAAAAAGAAGAGAGTTTAATGAAATGGCATTACTTGTTGTCATATACCTTGTTTATACCGATACATAAAGCGCTTTGTTCCAGTTCGCTGTGATTCAAAACGGATGCATAAACCAAATTTCAATGCGCTCTGAATTTCACAAGTGTATTGACTCGAATTTGAATTCAAATCGGTTTTTTATTTCTCACATCGGTTAGAAAACAGGTATAAACACATCACTCATTTGACGCGAAGTGAAAATAGGCTGGCTTTCTTTATACAGCCCATTTTGAATTTGAATTATTATTTAAATAAATTTGACTTATTCTTCGCTTCCATTTCGGTCAATCGCGCAAATCAATTATTAAAGAAATATCGAAATAAAAAAACACATTTTGTATAATTTTGAATACGGTTTCAGCGAGTGCGCTGTAAACGCTTAAAAGAAATATGTGTTGAGTCAAATTGGTTTTTAACCGACTTCGAAAAAAAGGAGGAGGTTATCAGTTCGTCGGAATCTTTTTTTTTTTTTTTTATGTATGTTACCGCATAACTTTGGACCACGTCAACCGATTTCGATAATTGCATCGGAAAGGTAGTGTCTCAGAGGTGGTCCCATACTAATCTGGTTGAGATCCGATCAGTGGATCATGAGATATATATATATATATATTTTTATATGGGAGTTGAAGTCGGTTTTTTTTTGCTAAAAATTACTTGTTTGTTAATGCGTAGGTATAAACAAGGTAATTGATTTTGCAGAAATTCTTTTAAATTAAATTGCATAAAAATTATAAATTTTTTTTAGTTATAAATGCTTTCAAAAAAATTACCTTTTTTACAAAAATTTCCATGGTTTGTGCTGGTGTGTACCTAAAAATAAAAAAAATATTCCATTTATTGAAGTCAGTTAAAAAATGGTTCGATCTCGTGTCATGGTGAAATAAATATAAGGTGATGTCACTTACATAACCTCACTTTTTCTGCATGCCAATTGCGGTCATGCATTTGAGGGTAGTAGAAAAAGGGTCAAAAGATTAGGATTAGTTTTACGCTTTTTGGGTACTATTTTCAATACTGATTTTTAATATAGATGTACATATACATGCATCAGTGGACTCCACACCAGTTAAATGAAGCTTGCATTCATAAAATATATTTGCTGTAAACTAGTATAATTAGAGATAAATTTTTTCGCTCAAAAGAAATTCTTATTACTTAATTTTTATTTTTTCGATCACATTTAATGATTATAATTATTATTAAGTCTTATTTTTATACTTAAAAATTATTATTTGTAAAACTTAAAAGGCCACACAGTCATACCACACACATATGATGTTGGTTAAAACTTAAAAAGTATTACCGTTCTCTTTATTTAATTATTCTCAAATTCTAATAAATATAGCATATTATCCCGTATGGAATTTTATTTGTATTTTTTCCTTAAGTTCTCAAGTATATGTATATGCGTACTTAGTTTTTAAATATCTTAACTTTAAAGGGAATTTTATTACAACCTTTTTTTCGTTACCATTTTAAAATTACATTTCTTAATTCTAGCGGTTTATAAAATAATTATACGTTTAATTTGCTAAACCAAAGTGCATCATCATAGCCATCCGAGGCACTGCTCCAATAATCAGGCGAATTTCAATCCCTGCAAATTTGAATTCAAAGCGAACTTGATCAAAATTCACTCGGAAGTGAATTACAGAACCTGCCTGAATATGTTGGATATGAATAGTATATATTTAAAAAAAAATTTATTTACAAAATTATCGCTCAGATTTTCCAATGAATTTGAAACGAAAAGTCAAAACGAAATCGAAACAAAGAATCAGTGATACCACGCATATTTTTTCACAAAATTGTCTGCTCCATCTTTCGTTCTATTTTGCCCAGAAATGAAATTTAAATAGAGTAGGCATTACTGTAACGCTGGTATGCGGAAATTGACAAAATTACAACAACCACCCTCTAAGTGACAACACCTTATTATTATTTCACCATGATCTCGTGTAAAATTTCCAAATTGTCAAATATGGCCTTTTGTAGTGATAGTGACAATACATTGTATATTGATGCGTAAATTTTGTTGTGCTCTTCGTTTCAGACATATAACTTCCAGGAGAAAATTGACCGCAACATGAAAGAAGTTTTGCCTGCTGCTACCGCCGGCTCTTTATTCGATTGGCATCACTTCTTCCATTTGAAAACTATTTATGCATGGTTAGAGTATATGGTATCTCAGTATCCTAAAGACTTATCTCTAATAGACATGGGCAATAGTACACAGGGAGTTCCCATTAAGGGCCTAAAGCTATCACGAAACGATTCCAACAAGTCAATTTTTATAGAAAGTGGTATTCATGCGCGCGAATGGATTGCACCCGCTGCAGCTACCTTTCTCATTAACGAGCTGTTGACCGCTAAAGAAGAGGCAGTGCAGAAATTGGCAAACGAGTACAATTGGATTATATTTCCTTGTGTTAATCCAGATGGGTATAAATACACTTTTGAACATGACCGGATGTGGCGCAAGAATCGTAAATTATTTGGCACTTGCCGAGGCGTTGATTTGAATCGTAACTATCCTGACCACTGGAATACTACTGGCGCAAGTGGAGATCCATGTCGCTACGATTACTCTGGTCCAAGTGAAAGTAGTGAAATTGAAACTATGCGTTTAACAGAATTTCTTCGGGCAAATGTGGAAAAGGAGCAAATAAGGGCATATATAGCTTTACATTCCTACTCGCAAATGATCATGTTTCCTTACGGGTATACCAAAGAACGTGTAGCAAACTATGATGATTTACAACAGTTTGGCCACGACGCAGTCGGGCGTATACGTGAATTAACTGGTCGTAATTACACAAGTGGCAGTTTGATTGAAACTATTTATCCCTCGAGTGGTGGCAGCATGGATTGGGCATACAGTAAAATGAAAGTACCAATAGCATACACATTCGAGTTGCGTGGGCCCCCAGACAGTTCGGATATGTTCATACTACCATCTGACGAGATTAGGCCCACGGCTCAAGAAGCGTTTGCTGCTATTAGGAGCATCATAGAAGGTGCCACTGAAAAGGGATACTTTAAGTAATCTCTAAAGGTGGGTTATAGCAGTAAAGTATAATCAAGGTGGTGTTGCTAAATCAGTCGCGGATCTATCCCTTGTCTGATGATCCCTCCAAAAGGTTTCGTAATACGTGAAAAAATTTAATCACTGAAAATTTTAATAAAGATTAATATTCTGTTAACTTTTAAAATTGTCATCATTTCTACCGCCTGTATTGTAGGTGATCTTAAAGCTCGTAGTTTTCCATTGTATTTCAATCCATAAGCTTAGTATACAGCTCTTAAAAAAATGTTGAATGTTGTTGTCGCAGCGGCTACTAAACCCCGCTCGAGTCAGCTCATCAATCAACGATCTCGTCTGTTTCAGCTAAGGGGAGGCCCAGGAAGTGCGCNACCCCCCCAAAAGGTTTCGTAATACGTTAAAAAATTTAATTACTGAAAATTTTAATAAAGATTAATATTCTGTAAACTTTTAAAATTGTCATCATTTCTACAGCCTGTATTGTAGGTGATCTTAAAGCTCGTAGTTTTCCATTGTATTTCAATCCATAAGCTTAGTATACAGCTCTTAAAAAAATGTTTAATGTTGTTGTCGTAGCGGCTACTAAACCCCGCCAGCTCACCAATCAACGATCTCGTCTGTTTCAGCTAAGGGGAGGCCCAGGAAGTGCGCGAATTCAATGGGATCTGTCCATAGGGACAGGCGCGTTAGCTGGGTTGAGTTCTGGGGCATGCGAAGAGGTGCCGCTAGTCATGTGGCGACCCTCCGCATGGCGGGCACATCCTCATTTATTCTGCTCAGGTACGAGTTTGGCCTGCCACAATAGCTTGAGCGAAGTTGGGCTTTAGTCCACGTCAGGTGGTTGTGTGCCCAGAATGGCATTCACAGATCGTGAGTCTATATAACCCGAGCCCGACTCCCTGTGAATGCCGTTCAGGGCCTGTCTGTATGCAGTTGGGTCCAGAGGTTGTTTGATAAACGTATATTGGCAAGGGCTCTTCTAGAAACTGTTGGCAGAGCATTGTGTTATGCTCCTTGATGGGGGCATCTGGGCCTCGTTGTGTAGGTGGTGTTGGGGCGACATCAGAAGGCATCCAGTCGCTGTCTGAAGTGCCGTGACCTGGCAGGTCTGTAGCTTCATCCACTGGGTCCTGATAGTCCCCGTCGGCCACATGGGCGCTGCGTAATTTAGAACCGGCCGGCCAATTGCCTTGTATGTTGCCAGCAACGTTTCTTTGTCTGTGTTCCAAGTGCTGCCGGCCAGCGACTTGAGGACCTTGTTGCGGCTCTGTACTCTGTTGACAATTGCGGTTGTATGTGCCGAGAAGGAGACCAGATTGTCGAAGGTGACTCCGAGAATTTTTAGGTTATTCACCGTCGGCATCGGTTCACCATCGACGTGAATACCCAGTTGCAGTCTGACGTCCTTCATCTAGGTGGTGATGAGGGTTGCCGAGGATTTTGTAGGGGAGAGGGTTAGGCTCCTTAGTGACTCACTCTAGTGGTTGAAAATATAGTAATTAAATAATAGTGGGGATAGGACACCACCCGGTGGAACCCCCTGTTAAATTTTTCTGGGTTTGCTGTTTTTATCTATGTATGAAGGATACTGACGAATGTCGACCACTCAGATAATTCGCCGACCACCGTTTGAGTCCCNCTTGCTGTTTTTATCTATGTATGAAGGATACTGACGAATGTCGACCACTCAAATAATTCGCCGACCACCGTTTGAGTCCCTGTGGGAGAGAGGAAGCCTCTACGGTGGAGCGAATACAAAAGGTGGCGCCGCTGGCAATACCGCTAATCGGCTCTCAGTGAATTTGACAGAATCCGCTGTTTTGCTGACGTCGCAGTCGAGATGACAGCAGTGGTGATGTGCTGGGTCAATACTTTTAAGTATCCAATACTCTCGATACTCGGTACCGAAACATTTAGGTTTCGAATAAAATCGCACATAGGCCAAAATATGGAAAAAAACGGTTCAGGGGAGACTCGCCTATCAAAACCAGAATGTAGGAGCTAATAGAGCTTTTAATACTGATTCAAATGAAAGATTCTTGGGAATCCTCAGTGCCTTTTAGTAGCGTGAACAGACTGACGGTGTCAAACACCTTTGGCAGATACATCGCAACTAGGACTGTTCTCTTACAGGGGCGGTTTCGGTTAAAGCCACGAGTTATCTGAGTGTTAATGGCGTTAAGTGCTGTTGTTGTACTGTGCACTTTACGGAACCCATGCTGATACTTCGCTGGGGTCATTTTGTTTGTGTAGTGCGGGAGTAAAAAGGCCTCTAGTATCTTCGCTACCGGGGAAAGGAGGGTTATCGGGCGATAGGACTCTCCTTTGTTGGACGGTTTCCCCGGTTTAAGCAGTGGGATCACTCTCCCCATTTTTCAGATGTCTGGAATGATGAGAGTGGCAATAGACAGATTGAGATCGTTGGTTAGATATTCCACTCCCGCAGGACCCGAATTTTTCAGCATCAGCATACAAATTCCGTCTGGTCCTATGGCTTTGGAGGTTTTCGCCTTCCCGATGGTTACCCTTACCTCGCCGCTGGTGAAAAAAAGGGGCGCTCTTGATGTTGGCAGTTTGTGCAGCCTTCTGGTCACTCAACGTTAGGCCTTGTCCTCCGGAGGATGTAGTATGAACTATCGGCTAAAATAGCTCGCGCATCGCTCCGGGTCCGACGAAGCGTGGTCACCAAAAGATATTTTAACTCTGTCGTCACGCTTCGTCGGATTGGACAATAACCTCTTGGTTGACCACAGCGTACTCACACCAGAGGGGAATTTGCAGGTCTTCAAATGCTCTTCCCTCTTTTTCCGGTTATGTACGTTCACTAGTTGCCGAATCTCCGCGTTGAGATCCCTGATACGGGGATTTCCGGGATCCGCCTGACGAAGGCTGTCACGCTCATCGGCAAGGACAGCCGCTTCAGCAGGAAAATTCGGTCGGGGATCCGAAACGCATCCTGCTGGGATGAAGCGGGCTGCAGCAGCAGTGACAACCCTGCGAAACTTAGCTCACCTACGTGAACGTCGATTGGTGTGGGTAGGGCAGTGAAGATGCTTTCAGTAACATCCGCGAAGCCTTTCCAATCAGCTTTGGAGAAGTTGACGTACACCCAGAGAAAGGTTTAGTTATAATTACCAAGATTTGGTTATAGTGGCCAAGTGACATAGTTTGATNGTGATCCGCCTGACGAAGGCTGTCACGCTCATCGGCAAGGACAGCCGCTTCAGCAGGAAAATTCGGTCGGGGATCCGAAACGCATCCTGCTGGGATGAAGCGGGCTGCAGCAGCAGTGACAACCCTGCGAAACTTAGCTCACCTACGTGAACGTCGATTGGTGTGGGTAGGGCAGTGAAGATGCTTTCAGTAACATCCGCGAAGCCTTTCCAATCAGCTTTGGAGAAGTTGACGTACACCCAGAGAAAGGTTTAGTTATAATTACCAAGATTTGGTTATAGTGGCCAAGTGACATAGTTTGATATGGCGAAATAAATATCTAGTTCACGAAAGTCTGCAATTTACTTGAGACTTCTACTTGGAACAAGTGTATATTTGTTAATAATTACAAAACGACTACCTTGATTGGATAATATTGTTAGTTGAATAAAATCATTGTTGAGCAAATAAACAATGCTTTGGTTGATACAAGTTTTCAATTAATATTAAATGGGCTTTGCGAGTAAGGGGTTACCCAACGCACAGCACTTAACATATAGAATTCCGATGGGGTTTGAAAGATTAACATTAAAATTAAGATTAAGATTAAGATTAAGTAAGATTAAGATTAAGATTAAGATTAAGTTTAAGATTAAGATTAAGATTGAGATTGAGATTAAGATTAAGATTAAGATTAAGATCAAGATTGAGATTAAGATTGATATTAAGATTAAGGTTAAAAGTAAGTTTAAGATTAAAATTAAGATTAAGTTTAAAATTAAGATAAAGATTAAAACTAATATTAAGATTAGATTAAGACTGAGATTAAGATTAAGATTAAGATTAAGATTAAGACATGTATACAGAGAACAGATTTGCTACTCCCTTTTGGCAAGAGATTAGAATTAAAATTAAGAGCTTAAAAGCTGTGACAGAGGCAAAGCTTATGCATATAATCTGGCACAAATATGCCATAATAATTTTGACCTAACAACGGCAGTTATGTGGATAAACGAGCGCAAGGTCGTGGGTTCGAGTCCCACGCCAATTGAATTTTCATTTATTTCGTTTTCATTCTTTTTTTTATAAGTTCTATATTTTTTTACGTTGCTTTCAGTTAGTTGTTTTTGTTGTTGACTTTTTATTAACATTCAACTCTAAAAATTTAAATTAACTAATAGTAAAATAAAAAATGTGTAAATAAAATAAAGCAAATGAAAACCAATTAAAGTAAAATTAAATATATAGATCAAATAAAATTAAAAAAAAAAATAAAAAATAAATAATAAAAATAAAAAAAAAATTCGCAATCGCTCCAACCGAGGATCGAACCTGGCAGTTAATTCCCAAAAATTCCCTGCATTTGTTCGGCTGCTTATGCGCATTTTAAAGAGGAAAATGCATGAGTCAAAGCAAATAAAGGCTGTTTATGCAAATAATCGAGCCCGTTTGTCAACCGTATAAGATTAAGATTAATGGTGATTTCGTTTCTACTAAAGAAGTGTTGCCTTTTGATAGCCCCTTTCGCGTTTAGTGTTCGATTCTAAATTAAAGGCATAGGGTGAAAGAATGTTGTCTTCGTTTCTTAAAATGTCACACTCTTGTAAGGCAGAAAGGGCACCTTTCTGCCCTTTGAAGCTTTGTCACGGGAGATGGTTATCCTGAAAATCAGATGGTTGCTTAAAACGATAATATGATGAAGTCCGTGAGGTGGACGAGGATAAGAAGGCAAAAACATTTTTTTCAAAGGGTTGAGTGTNATAAGGCAGAAAGGGCACCTTTTCTGCCCTTTGAAGTTTTGTCACGGGAGATGGTTGACCTGAAAATCAGATGGTTGCTTAAAACGATAATATGATGAAGTCCGTGAGGTGGACGAGGACAAGAAGGCAAAAACATTTTTTTCAAAGGGTTGAGTGTAACATCAAGCACATTTTGCACCGTGCAAGGGNGTAAGGCAGAAAGGGCACCTTTTCTGCCCTTTGAAGTTTTGTCACGGGAGATGGTTGT